AGGCTGCACGGTGCGGCGTAACACACAGGATCTGCTGGCAAACCCACAAACCCAAAGACACATCACATTACAGTGTGTATGCTGCTGTTGTGTTTGATGGGAAATGCCCACACAGTCTTTGGTGATCAGCGGGAACCTTTTTTTCTCACAACTGTCTTCCTGTGGACTTGTAACACACAGAGCCACAGTCAGTGCATTTTTGTCCCAATTAAAACCCCCCGCACTGCCCACCTCTCTGCTCTGGCAAGTGCAGCGGAGGCTAATTCGATTTAACGCATTGACAAAACATCTATGAAGAGTTTTACGGGGAAAGAATGGGAAACCGGTGCCTGCAGGGTTTTGGATGCTGCTTGTGTTTCAGATGGAAGCTGCCGCGCAGAGAAACACTGGAAATGCCAGAAAAGGTCAACGAATCGGCCTGAGAGGAGAAAGGTCACCTCTCATTTTCACATTCATACATTCAAACACATTTTAGTTAAGTGCATGGGAGTTATTTTATTTGCATTCGTTGAACCTGAGAGTTTGCATTCAGATTATTGAACAACAAAGCATCAGGTCGACTGGCTGCAGGAACAGCAGTCAGGTCGGATCACCCGTGTAGGAAGCAGCCGCAACAGCATCCCTTCACCGTGATTTGATAGATAATGTTAATATTATAAAATGTAACCCCCCTCTGAGGCAGAAACAAGCAGGGGCGGCTATTAATCCAACTCGTCTTTGTCAAGTGTCACTGCAGCAAGTGCTTAATCACGCCAACAGAGGAGAGAGAGAGAGTCCAGGGAGGAAATGAAATGCATCAGTGGCGCTGCAGCTGAAAATGACAATCAGCCAGTTCAGCGATGCCTCTGATGATCAAGCATATCAATGAGGGGAGAGAAAGAGGCCGGGGCAGAGAGAGAGAGAGAGAGAGAGAACCACTGCTGAAGGGAGAGCAGAGCAGCAACTAATTTAGGTCAGAAGTATCACAAACGATTTGGGTGACTTGGAGATTTATTAGAATAAAATCAGCTCATGTCGAGAGGTTAACGTGAGTCCATATTCCTCACATTAAGACTCACAGGCTTCTGGACGAACCTCGGTAGAATATTACCGAGCCGATAAACAGAACTGACTGTTTATTAACTTTTTATTAGTGTTCATTTGTGAAGTCACATCCCTTTTCTGGCTGTCGCAGTGTCGTGAGCGGGAACTAACGATGATCAGAACATTGCTGCCATTGATTTATTATGAGTGAACACACACAAAGGGACTTTAGGTCAAAGTTAGTTTTGGATGAATTTGGCTTCTGTGTAGTGTCATAAGTAGAATTAAAGGGTCACATCACCCAAATCTCAAATAATAATATTTTTCATTTTAACCTCAGTGCAATCTGTCATGCTGTTTTTTTTTTTATTAGGGTAAGATCTGTTTGTTTAGGTCTTAATATAATTATCAGTCGTTATTATTATTATTATTATTATTCCTCCCTTCCATACTGGCTTATAAATTATTTTTTTCCCACTGAAAGAAATGTAATCCAAGCATCCTAAATCTGTGATTTTAAATGGGTACTTTAAAATGGAATTCTCTGCATCGAAGAAAAGAAACATTCAAATATCAACACACAATATGATTTTAAATTTAGACGTTCACTCTACATTTTATCTCATTAACTAATATCTGGTGTCATATCATCATACTTGCAGCTTGGAGGACAGATGTCCCCTCCGAGACATATTTTTCATGAGGACACATTGTTAAAACAACAAAATATACAGTATGCACAGAATACGTTTGATATTACTCAACAACCTGCAATCCCTCGCTGCAGCCTTGTCACTGCCATCATTTCCATTTTACCCCCAGTTGGAAACTAGGATGGAAGAGAAGGAGGCTGTGGGTGGAAAAGAGAAAGAAAACAAAGGTTAGAGTAATGGAATATAAATCATCAGATTATCCTAATGCATGTCCTGCAATAGGAAAAGTCAACAAAATAACATTGAGATTCTAGCATCACTAGCTCATTCTTCAACAATACACCCCCTCTGCTCTCTGTGATCATCTATAGAAGCACATTCATAATACAGTGGTTCTCGCTCACATCTTTTTTCTGTTTCTGTTCTCAGACAGAACAGATGTGAGATACCGACTGACTCAAGCTGCTGCGCTGCTGAGATTGAATCTTTACTCTGTGATCACAACATTGTCCGACAAAATCAACAAACAGCATTACAGATTTTTTTCCCCGCGCAAAACAGCAGGACCACAGTTTGAAGATATATTCATTCTGGAGGAAAATGGAAGTGTGAACAAATCGAGAGGCTGAAATTGAAAGAAAAAGATGTTTTTAAATTCAATAGTGTCCAGATTTGGGGTGAAAATGGCTGTGGAGTGGAGGGTGAAGTTATTTAATGTTGAAAAGACTGTGTTATCAAATCTGTGACACTTTAGAACAAGCTCAGATGACTCCTGAACAAAGTTGTTTACATTTAGCACTGAGAGGTTTTTGTGTTCATGCTCCACATCGTATTTCTGTTGTCAGGTCTCTCCACTATAAGCTCGAGTGAGTGCGGGGTTCGTCGCTGTATTTACAGGTCTGGTGGGAGATCTGTCAGTTTTTCAGCTGCGTAGTAAATTTCAGTCTGTTTTTTTAATGCTGTTGTCAAAACTGCACTTCCACCTTTTATAAGGTCAAACACAACAATAACAACACACATGAAAAGTTCTGCCCCTCAGACACAAGTCTTGTTTTTAAAGGTAATATCTGAACAAAAGCATGAAATTATTCAGACTAAACAAATTTTCTGTTGCTAGGAATATTTCTAAAGTTGAAGGATATGGAGTTCTTTACAGTGTAGAGGTTGACACAAAATTCACACTTATGCAACATTAATGAAGACGTGTTTTAAAGAAAAACATTTATTATGAGAATAATAAAAGCATAAACACACAAACTAACAAAAGGTGTACTTACTATGTACAGATGTGCAGATGTGTATGCGAGTGTGCATGTGTGTGTGTGTGTTTGTGAGTGAGTGACTGAGATTCAAAATGGCGGCTGGCCGCTATGAAGACAAAAGGCCCCACATGTGTGTGTTAAGTTTGTGGAGATGAGTGTGTGAGGTGTCAGGTTGAAGAAAGTAGTTAGATGCATGAAGAGAAATCATTAACTTTCAAATAACATATAACCAAATATCACAACAACACAAGTCAAACTTATGAACATCACATGAAATAGAATGAATCAGTCCTTTGCTTAGCCTAGTATAATAATAAAGCCCAGTTGTGTTACCCGTCCATGTGTTGTTTGAAGTCCATCTGTGTGCATCTGCTGGTCAGACCTTGTGTTGTGGCCAGTTGTGTTGAAGTTCTTAGACAGGCTCTCGCGTCGCTGCCTTTGGAAGGTTTTAGCAGTCTGCTCCAGGCAGGCCTGCTGGAAGTTGAGGAGCTTGTGTAGGGAGGAAGTCTCCCTGGCTGGGAGAGCAGGAGCAGAACCTACTCCTCCAGGAGTATCAGCAGGGGAAGAGCGGAAAGAGAGAGAGGAGAGGGGAAACTCGGCTTTCATTGGCCTTGTGACCTCATGGGTCATGGGGCACACAGTGACCAATAGTAGTTGAGAGTTGTCTCCAGGAGCAGTTTACCACCTATGGGTGAAGATGAAGCACTCTGGGAGACTGAGTTCTGGAAGCTCTCCTTTGTCTTCAGAGCAAAGGAGATATGCGGTCAGGCTTTTGACTACACATGTAGGCCCAACTATGGTTCACGGATACCAGGTCCCAACACAACCTTACCCCAAACTGCATGTCTTTGGACTGTAGGAGGAAAAAGGAAATGACACCCCAGGTGAACCAGGATTCGAACATGCAACAACTGTATCACTGTACTGCCCCAAACACATCAGACAATCCGTATTTCTTCTTGTTGTTATACCAATAACATCCCAAGCAGGTATTATGAGCAATATTATGCAAAAACCGCAAAGTGTGTCCTTGTTGCTGTGCTTAGTTCTGCACATCATCCTTATTATTAAACGTGTTTATAGAAATAGAACAGTTCAGATATAGAACCCACTTCAGAGCCTCCTCTGGTCTTTTCCATCTCTCGTGTCCCTTGACACTGTGTCATCCTTTTTTTCTCTGCCTCACGAGCATCATGTCACCTTCATACACTGCTCACTAGAGGGTGCCATACACAAATCCAACACAGACAGAGACACTGCAGAGAGGGTAAATCATTCCACCCCATGGCTGCATTTCACTCAACTCTCCATCACAGCCGTAGTCTCGTCATCATTTCATTTTTCCCAGCTGCCATCACTGCTCTGCAAATGTGTGCATTCATGCCTCGTGGTGCGTTTTAAAAGGAAATGAATGAGGGGATGTTAATACACATTCTGTCTCTATCACCATAAAGCATCTGTTTATGGGAGTTATGAGTGGGGAAAAAACATTTAGTGCAGGTGTAATGTCTTATGCAGCTTGGATCAGCAGGTGCTTTAAATATGTTTAGGCTTGTTTACAGCTCATTTGTCAGTTATATTTCAGAGGTTGTGAGTGGATGCCTTCATTGACGGCCACTTACACCAGAAAACTAGAAGGGCACTCATCCACAGGGCACGACAGTCCCCTCATAAAACCACATTCGAATTCAGTAGATCTGGATTTTTATTTGGATCTGCACCAAATGACACTCACAAGTATCAGTCCTCTAAACATGCCTGATTATTTTCACTCTGATCAATGAATTATTCTGTGAGAAATCAACGTAAATGTTGAAAAACAACCGATCTTGCAATGTTAAAGAAAGTGAAATAAAAGATTCTCAGATCCTCCACCTGATCCGGATCCACTTCAAATTATAATAGCTTCTTCCCAAGTTTCCTGGGAATCCGTCCAGTCGTTTATGAGTAATTTTGGTAAATAATAGACACAGAAACAGGTATGAAAATTACAAAATAGGTTTATTCATATAAACAACTACAAAAGTCTAATAAATAAGGTTTTTTTGGGAGGAGACAAATTAGATAAAGTGGTATTATATCATTTCACAAAAGTAATATCAAAACACATACAAACTGAAGAGGTTCATCTGTATTCTTCACACAGCTCTTCTGCTGTGGTCGAGTTTATAGAGCTCGCTCTGTTTGTAAGAGGAGGCACAACTATCCTGAGATTCACCATGTTTCACATTTGGTCAAACTTACAAGTCTAAGTTTATCCTTCACCGTGCACTTGCTTCTCACACGCCCTCCCACACAGCAACGTCTCACATGGCCTCTTATTTACAAAGTATTCTGGAGCTGTGAACACTGAGACTGCATAGATGATTCATTCACGACTTGTTTTTTTATTTCAGGGCTCCCAGGGTGACCGAGTCCTTCCCCTCCGAGGAGTATGGAAGTGAGGATCGTTTTGCGGTGCCATACGATGCGTAGGAGGGGGTGGAGGAGGAGGGTAAACGGGGTAGGGTGGCTGTTGAGGAGGGGAGGGCTTGCGTCTGTCTGTCAGGGGGGCAGTAGGCCGGAGAGGACGATCTGCCTTTGCTCTGCAGGCTGCTGCTGCTGCTGCTCTGCAGGGGAGAGCTTGAGGTTTTCGGGCCTCGAGTTAGAGACGAGGTGGAGGAGCTGGAGAGGGGTGAGGTCCTCATGCCGTAACCAAGAATGCCAGTGCTCATCAGAAACTCCCTGGAGCCGTAAGCGGGAGGGGTCGGTCCCCGGGAGCCTGGAGGTCGGATGCTGTCCGGTGGCAGACTCCGCCTGCTGGGGATGTCATAGATCCCCATGTCCGGGCCGTAGAGTGCCTGAGATCGGGCCTGGAGACGCAGCATCCTCTCCCTCTCCTCCATCTCCCGCCTCTCGTGGATAGACGCCATGATGGTTTTTGAGAGGCTGTCGTAGCGCGCAGCAGCCGACTTCTGAGGTGTCAAACCCTGAGGACCCAGATCACGGAGGCTGTCTCGAAGACTGTGAGAGGTCAAATCCCGCATGGCCAGACCTGGAGGGGGGACGTCTCGTGATGCTATGCTTTGGGATAAAAGGTCTCTCGGCATCAGCCCTTGAAAAGCAGGGGAGGGGTCTCTCTGTATGAAACCTTGGAAGGAGGGCGAGGCGTCCCTTGAGGCGAAACCCTGCAAAGAAGGTGAGGGGTCTCGAGGTTGAGGAGACTGTCTGTTGACGCCCATAAACACAGGGCTGTAGGCGTGAGGAGAATGCCGCTGCACCACAGTCCCGTCTGCGCCCAGTGTCATGAAGTGAGCGTGGTAGCCGACTGGAGGGGCCCCTCTCTGAGCCAGGAACTGAGGGTCTGCAGGGCTAATGACGTTATCATAGGAGAGGCTGCTGTTGCTGCTGCTGCTGTGGCCGGTCAGCAGGCTGGAGGAGGAGATGATGCCCAGTGGAGGATTGCATCCCAGACCGTCAGGTAGCTGGGATTTGCCACCGTGGCGGTGGCTGTGTTTGAGGGTGAGAGAGCGGGAGTTGAGTGTCAGAGAGCTGAGCTGCAGCGAGCTGGAGCCGGTGCTGGTGTGGAGGGGAGGCTGGACAGGCAGGCCCACCCTGTGGCTGCCTCTTGGACTTTCTTTGGACGCAGAGCGGAGGTCAGGACTTCTGTTGTTCACCTGCTGCTCTGATGTCTTCAGCAACTAAATAACACAATAAGAACCAGACAACAATGTGTGTCAGATATGGATCACAACTGAGAAACTGTATAATAAGAATCCTACAATCGGACAAATTGAAATAAGACTGAAAAGCACCTGCTCTGGGGGAATGGGAGATGATCCTCTGGATATGGCCTCCAGGACTGGGCGGAGCTGTGGAACAGTTGGAATGGATACAGGAATGATGGTTTTGGTGTGATGTCCCATCTCTGCAAAAGAAGTCACCTTGGGATTAATAATAAGCAAACAAAAACAAAATCCACAAATACAATCCAGCAATGACACAATAAAGAAGAAATAAAAAAGTCTGGCAGTAGTCCAAATGTTCTCTTTGTCTACAAATCTAGTGACTCTGCTCCAATCTCATTGGATCTGACAGAATCTTAAAATCTTTGAAAACATCCATCACTCATATAGTTAATATTACAAAAACTTTACTTATGTAACTTTTTCAGACAGCAGGGTTCAGAGGTATTATATCAGTCACAGGCAAAAGCAGAGTAAACTACAGGGTCAGCGTTGGAAAGTACCAGAAGCTTAGAACTATTGTACTTTGAGGAAAAATATTGTACACAAGTCATATCCTGGAAACTAATAACAAAACATAAAAATAAACTGTTCATAATAAATAATTTACATAAAACAAATGTTTAGATGAACAAGTATTTGCCACAAAGATGTCGATCCATATTCACAGACATTATCAAAACAAGTGTGAACACAGACGTAGGATCAATATCCTATTTTACTATACTGATTATTACAACTCTTAACTTAGTAACTGTAAGACAGATTAATTGGATATTATGGGAACGCTGTTTAATACAAAGACAGATAATAAAAAAAGACAACACACGTTTGTAGAATCAATTTGACAATAAGAAAAATACCGAATCAAACCAGATTGATCTTTTAATTCACTCTGAAGACACACACAGACCTCAGTGTACTGATCATCTTATACATGTGTGTAATATGAAAATGTTGCTGCTGTATTATGTCTGATTATCACAGAGTAAATTGATCCATCAACTGTACCGTCCATGGCAGCTAGATGGCTCTTCAGCAGGCCGTGGTCTGGTTTCGGGGGCAGTGGTGGTGGACCTGATGGTTGGTGCTTGATGTCGGACAACTCGACAGCTTCTCCTGAGGTTTTCTGACGGGACACAAACAACAGAGGATCAGGAGAGATTTCATCAAACATGTTACAAAATTGACATTTGAGAAAATATGAATTGTCATTATAATGCATACTTTATTGTGGAGACCCTGACTCTTTATCCCATTGTCCCTGACTTTCACTGGCATCTGCCTGTTGACTCCCGGCCTCAGGAACGGGGGCTGAACATGGACGGCTGTTTTCATGAGAGGCCGTGCTGTGTACCTGGTGTCACGGGACGTAAGGAGACAGCAAAGAGTCAGACAATGTTCCTCATGGTTTCATAGAATGCCGAAGATCATTTAGAATGAAAAATATGCCCCTCACTTTGGAGAGATGGGACTGCAGACCAGATACTCCAGGTTGTTACAGCAACCTCGAGTAAAGGGATTTACTCCACCCTGAAACTTCCCAGTTACCTGCAGGATCATCAAGAGGTAAAAATGTACCCGTGTATTTAACGTGCATGAAAATGTATTTTCGAGATATTTCATATTCTTATATCCAAAACATTGACTTTACTGATATAATTTACAACCTTAATAGTAAAAAACTGACTTGTTCATTTGTGGTGCGTCCTCTCGACACCAGGTACAAG